TGTGCCAGCAGCCTCACCGCAGGTTGCTTGAATCACATCTTTACTGAAAAGTGGGGGTGAGGCTACCCGGGTTTCTGGTGAGAACTGAATGGCTTGAAAATTAGCAGCTTCCAAATTAGCAGGTCTGAGGTAGAACAGGCAGGTTTGTTCTGGCAGCATGGATGGAAACACTGGCTCTGAAAGCAGAGGACCAGCACTCAAGAAGCACCTCGGGCACGTCTAGGGCTGACCTGCAGCAAATCACAACCTCCCTCACGTCCTCATTGTAAAATCAGAACTAAAAGAGGGCCAGAGCAAATGGCTTCTGAGGTGCCTTCTAGCAAAAACAATCAACAGAAACATAAAGAGGGGCACTGTTCTACCCCCTAAATAACTTGTGCTTCCCTGGAGAGGCCTACCCTAACAATCAAATAAGTTGTGAGAGCCAGTGCAAAGCCCTTCAGTGTCCTCTAGGAGAAATGACGGGACTGAAATCCCTTGTGGGAAGCTGGGTCCCAGGCACCACTAAGAAACTGATGCAGGGCTCTTTTCATCCATTCATCTTTATTACTAAGGAAGGAACAAGTTCTGTTTTCTGTGGATTTACAGGGCAGAAACCATGTGGCGTATTGGAAAGAACACTGGAGGTCGAGCCAAGGCCCTAGGCTGAAATCTGAACTGTTCCTACCTTATTCCACTTAGGCAAATCAGTTAGCCAAGCCCTCCCCGCTCCATCCTCATTTGTAAAACAAAGGAATTGGACTAGACTGTCCCTGCCAGCTCTAAATTCTACAGAACCACAAATATTTAAGCACCTACTGTGTGGAGAACATGTGCTGGGCTTTGGGGGGCATACAGTTTAGGTAAAGTATGGTCCTTGCCCTGAAAGAGCATAAGGGTGATAAAACACTAAAAGAGAGCAAAATAATACACAATATTTATAGTACCACAGACCTAGTGATGAAAGCCATAGTGTGCTGAGAAATGTTTAACAACCAGCTGGGGGGAGGGGAATGTATGCAGGACACCTCTTTAATGATCTGCATTATTACACTCTGTCCATCGCTCTCTTAGGTCTAAATAACCAACAAAACAACAAACCAAGCCCTGATCTATAGTTGGCCAATTTCCAAGGTGTAAATGCTCACACTGACAATTTAACAACCGGCTCTCAGGAGCCAGTGTAAGCCGGCTTCAGCACAGCCCTGGGTAAAAGAACCTCAGAGGCCTCTGCATTTTACAAATGAAGAATATGAGGACCAGGCAGGTTTTCTTTAAGTGCATTCAAGTTACAAAACAAAGTTCCAGGGTGGGGGGAGGGAGGGGAGAAGGTAGGGTTATCAAAGAGTTTTTGGAGGGGGAGTATCTGAGATGAACTTTAAGGGACTCCTATATATTCAACTGGAGAAGAGGCGGTGGGAGGACATTCTGGGTAAAAGTTATATGAGTAACGTGAACAAAAGCATACATTGGTCCATGTATTTTTTGGTCCAAAATTTCACACAGGAGCTCCAAGTGAGGAAATTCCCTCCACCAGTGCAGATCTACCCCTCATATCCTTCGAGTGTCCCAGGGCTCCAAAAGGCTGCCTGATTTACCCAGGCCCACAAATGCAGTACACATCAGAGTCTGACTGGAAATCAGACTGTCCCGACTCACTCTCTACTCACAGGGTATATGGTAGTGCAGCGGATTGAGTGCCAGGCCTGGAGTCAAGAAGACCCGAGTTCAAATTTAGGCCCAGACACTCACTGTGTGACCCTGGGCAAGTCACTATCTCAGTTTCCTCATCTATACAACAGTGATAGTAATAGCGACTACCTAACACAGTTGCTGTAAAAATAAAATGAGATTCTATTTGTAAAGCACTTTAGCACAGTGGCACATAGTAGGTGCTACATAAATGTTAGCTACTAGTATTATTATGACTACTCCGTTTTGCTTCTCAGATCACATATGGTCATTTAAAAAGAGAATTTCACTTCTGACAAAGTCCTTCATGTTTCCTCCCAGCTTCGATCCCCCATCTGCACAACTCTAGGCTCTGCCTCTCCCACCCTCAGGCTCTAGAGTACAGAACTAAATGGGTCACTTCACTTTTCTGAGCCTCAAGTTCTCATCTGTAAAATGAAGGATTGGCCTACAAGTCCCCTGAAGCTTAAATCCACAATCTCATCAGTCAAGGGTAGTTTCAGAAGGCTCAACATGGGGAAGAACTTCCTCTTGTTCCTGGAAAGATGGAGAAAATTTATTTCCTAATGTTTCTAACTCCCACTCCCTGTGACTCCCTATATCCAAGTGTTCTTCCTTGGCTATCACTATTCTCAATATACATCTGGGGTTCTGAACTAGGGATCCATGAGTACTTTTTCAATATTTTAATAGCAGTATTTCCATGTAGCTGTTTCTCTCTATAACTCCTTTTACTTTAATACTGGAAACATTCTGAGAAGCGGTGGGTAGGCTTTCTGCCAAAGAGCCCACAACACAACCCCTGCCCTCCTGCGGAGGACTGTGAGAGGAGACTATTGCATATACTGTCAGATGCAGGGGATCTGTTGGTTAGTTTTGCTAAACTACTTTTTTCTATCTCTTTTTATTTTCTTATTATAAGAGATGGCTCAGTGAGGAGTGATAAAAACCAAAGTCATCAAATTTCTCTTCAAATGACAGCTCCTTAAGGGCAGGGACTATCAGTCAATACACATTTATTAAGTGCCTCCTATGTTCTAAGGGTTGGGGATACAAAGAAAGGTAAAAGACGGTCCCTACTGTTAAGGAGTTCACAGTCTACTGGGGGTGGGAGGGAAGCATCTTGCAAAGAACTATGTACAAACAAGCTACATACAGGAAAACAACCGGAAACGATCCACAAAGAGAAGAACGCTAGAGTTAAGGGGGATCTAGAAAGGCTTCCTATAAATGGTGGGATTTGAGCTTGAGGCAAAACCAGGAAAGCCAAGACCATTCCAGGAATGAGAGACAGCCAGAAAAAAAAAATACCCACAGGCAGGAAGAGTATCTTGTTCCAGAAACAGCAAGGATGTGGGAGGGGTGTAAGGCTTAAGAAGACTAGAAAGGTAGGAGGGGGCTGCTGGTCACAAAGGACTCTGAACTCTCCAAACAGAGGATTTTTATATATATATATATATGCTGGAGGTCTTAGGAAGTCCATGGAGTTTAGATCTACCATTTAGGAAGACCATTCTGACAGCTGAACATCAATCTTGCTTTTGTATCCCTAGCACTGACCCATATCACTACTCGGGTCAATAAGCTCCAGAGGATCCTTGTTGCCTCTATTGTTGTTCAGATGTGTCCGACTGACTCTTCTGAGTCTATTTAGGGTTTTCTTGGCAAAGAGACTGGAGTGGTTTCCTCCTCTGGCTCATTTTACAGATGAGAAAACTGAGGCAAACAGAGTTAAGTGACTTGTCCAGGGTCACACAACTAGTAGTATCTGAGGCTGGATGTGAATTCAGGAAGATTAAGTCTTCCTGACTCCAGACCCAGCACTCTGTTCACTGCACCACCTTACCTCTAACATATATCAAGTATAAACCCTTCTCTCAACTAAAACTTCACTCTACTTGATTCCAACCTATTGAGGCTTATTATACATTTCCTTTACTGCCTGTGTGACCCTGACCAACTAACTTCACTTCTGTCTGCCTCAGTTTCCTCATCTGTGAAAAGGGGATAACACTTAACCTCACAAGGCTATCCTGAGGGATCAAATGTTTGTAAAAGCACTCTGCAAACCTGAAAGCACTGCGTAAATGGAAAGGTTTCTGTGCCTTTAAACCAGCAGTCCCCCTCTTTGCCATCACCTCAAGACCTTCCCTGTCTGATGCCTCCAGCTGCCAGTCCTTCCTCACGCAATGCCTAAGACCAGACATTTATTTTGTTTACATTGTGTATTTCACCTGCACCTGCTGTTTCCCCCAGAACATAAGCTTCTCATGGAAAGGGACTGGGTTGGTTTTCTGTTTTTATTTTTTGCAAGGGTTGGTCTATGCATCCCCAGCATCTAGCACAAACTGAATGCAGTTTTTAAAAATGTAATTGATCAGGCAGTAACCACTGGTTGTTCCGGAGCCAGAGGACCTGGATTCAAATTCCAGTTCTGACACCTGCCTCTGGGATACCTCTCTGAGCCTTAGTTTCCTCATCTATAAAAGAATGGGGTTGGAGCTCTCTTCATCGATGATCCTGTGACCAATTTTCTATCAGAAGAAACAACATTAGGCAGGGGCCAGGTAACCCTCTGTTGGAGGATTCCTGTTTCGGGTAAAAAAGCCGCCTGTTGGAGGCATCTAGGTGGCGCAGTGGATAGAGCACCGCCCCTGAAGTCAGGAGGACCTGAGTTCACATCCGGTCTCAGACCAGACACTTGACACTTACTAGCTGTGTGACCCTGGGCAAGTCACTTAACTGCCTAAAAACAAAACACAAAACAAAAAAGCCGCCTATCGACTGAGGGCCTGGGATCCCGCTCCCCTGGAACCAATCCTACTGTCGAACTCTGGGACAGAAGCAGGAAGGGAACAGAGGGGGTCATCCAGCGAGGTGGGAGTACAAAAGGCCGGAGTCCTGCCTCGGATCCCGGCTAGCTAAGCGACTGTAGGGCATAGCACCGGCCTCCGTTTCCCCATCTGTAAAGTGGGAGAAATAACAGTAATAACAGCTGGCCGGCCCAAGGCCCTCACTTCGCCCGTGAGGGAGGGTCCCTCTGCAGGGCAGCCCACCCTCGGCTCGACCGGCCCCGGAGACCTCTGCCCACCCGGGACGGCCCTTACGAGCGGTCACCAAAGGCCTCCGGGCCGGACCCTGGCCGGCAGGTCCTGCTCCCTCGCCTCGAGGTGTCCTTCCCTCTCTTCTCCCTCAAGCCGGCAGGCCCTCGCCACTCCCGGCCCGTGGCGCCCCACGACGGACCGCGCCTGGAGTGGGGGGGGGGGTAGGGAGGCACGAGGCGCATGCTCAGACGGCTCCCTTCAGCCCACCCCACCCCCGCCGCGCACCTGGGAGTCCCTAAACTCCACCACCACATTCTCGCTGCTCCACCTCGCCGCCATCTCCGGTCTGACCGCCTCCGCCGCCCCACGGCGCCCGCCGCCGCCGACGCGCTCCCCGCGTCAACCACGCGCGCCAGGGCTTCAGCACGCAGGAGGACGCACCCTTCACCTCAGACCACCCCCTCGACGCCCCACCCATCTCGCTGCTCGGCCAGCCATTGGTTGTTCCCTGAGCATTGGCTCCGCCCCCACCCCTCGTGGTCTAGCGTGCACGCGCCCTGCTAAACACAACCAGCCCCTCGCCTTAACCTCCCCTCCCCTCCCTGACCTAGCTTGGGCTCTTATCGCTTCCAGGTCACGTGACGTAACACGGAGGCGAAGCCTCCTGGGCTCTCAGAAGCTGGAGCCGCGCCCCAACCGGTTTTGCCTCAGGCTCTGTCGGGAACTGTAGTCCCTGGCCAACCCGGGCAGAAGCTGTGGGCAGGGCAAAAAGGATTACGTGCAGGTGGCCAAGGGACAGCTCAGGTTCCTTCTTCCCTGTCTCTTACATCCTGTTCAAGGATAGACAGACGGATGGACGGACGGACAAACAAACAGACGCAGTGAGAAACAGATAGAAACACTCATGGATCCAGGTGGATGGACAGACGGAGATGTTAAACAGAAATATGGATGGATAGACAGACAGGCACGGGGAAGAATGGATGGACAGACAGAATCAGTCCCAGCCTCTGGAGCTGCCCTCCCTCCAACCATTCCCACACATGTAGATTTATCCTCTATGCCAAAGACATCCGTTGCCCCAGCACTCTTGTTAACTATACCCCCAAAGTCCTAAAAATCTTCCAGGCAGTATCCAGAAAACACTGTCAGAACATGATGAGAAGGTCATGTTTTCAAGCCTTTTTGGTGGGGTCAGGCTCACTCTGTCTCTCTGTCTCTGTCTCTCTCAAAAATAGGAGTCGTTTTAGGGATTTTAGAAGTAAAGAACTTGCTATGATTGCTTCTCATCATTTGTGAGAGGGAGCACATTTCAAACTGGTTCTCTTTCCTTTGGATCCTGTACAAAGGTTAGGGATGGAGAATAAGCATTTCTGTAGTGTCTATTATGTGCCAAGAATTGTGCTAAGCACTTTTACAACTACTTTGCACTCTATTGTATTTAATCCTACAACCAGTACTATCAAAATAAGAGATTCTTGCTTCAGATGAAATCATGTTTCTTGGGATAAAACTGAGCTCAAAGTGGGGCCTAAGAGCCAGAGTTCCTTGCTCAGACCCAAGCCCGGGCTGGTCTTGGAGGAGGTTTCCTCAACTTTCCCATGGCCTCTTGGAGTTCTGGGATTTGAAGACAACCTTACAACAATTCCTCTCCTAAATCCAGGTTTAGGAACTACTAAGAGTCCCCAGCAAAATTGCTGACATAGCTGCAAGCCAGTCAAATATTTGCCAAAGTGTCACCAGCTAGCTAGGGGGCCATCTCCAGTCATCCTGATCTATATCTTGCCACTGGACCCAGATGGCTCCAGAGGAGAAAATGAGGCTGGTGACTTTGCACAGCCCTCCCTCACTTAAATGCAATCCACTTGCAAGTCAGGGCATCACCTTCCTGATGCCATGGTCCTCTTCCAGAACAAAGGATGAAATAACAACCACCACAATATGGTGTAACAGAAAGAGCATTGAGCTTGCTATCAGAGGACTGGTCCGTCTTTTCACCTCTACCACTAGCTAGCTGTGTAGCCTGAAAGATGTCCCTTCATCTCTCTGACATTCAGTTCCCCCATCTATACGATGAGAAGGCTTTTCTCTCTAAAGTGTTCTTCTGCTCTATAAATCTTGAGTCTCTTCAGATAGCCCTAATAGAAGGCAGAGTATCACTAACTTGAAAAAAAATACATAATCAAGATACCTATTAGGTATAGCTCTGCTTTACATGTACTTAATGGTTAATTATTGTTTGTTCCTGGTTTCTGTTTTACTTCTGTTTTAGTGAAGCAAAAAAACCCAGAAAGCTAGAAGGATTCATCCCACAGGAAAAAAAAGGGGGGGGAGGGAACCACTCAGCTACTGAGATGGATTTCTTTTCTATTAGGATTAAAATTTAGAATTCACAGGGACCCTTGAGATCATCTAGTCTAATCACTTCATTTTACAGATAAGGAAACAGAGATCTAGCCCAATGAAATGAATTGCCCAATACTACACAGATGAGTGTTGAAACCAGGTTCCTTGAATCCAGAACTCTCATTCTTTGCACTGCACAGTGCTGCCTCTTTTTAGAATTCTGTGTATTTGTTCTGCTAGATTGTGGGCTCCATGAGGTTCTTTAACTTTTGTTTCTCTCCCAGAACCTAGCCCAATGCTTTGCTCATAGCAGGGACATAATAAATGTTTGTTGTAGTTGCAGATTGTAGAAGGTGTAACTAACCCCAAAGGCCTCTCTGGTCTACCAGGATAAGGAGAATCCAAGTGTGTCCAATTTGAAGAAATAGGAGGATGTGAACTCCGATGCTCTCTTTTTCAAATGTTCTGAGTCAATCTCTCAGGCTATTTCTTATTTAAGCCTTTTTCCTTGGATATTTAAAACAGAGCCTGACCTATTACAACATTATTGAGAATTCACATTTAAAATAAGCTTTAAAATCAATTTTTATCAGTTATTCTCTCCCCTCTACACACACACACACACACACACACAAACATACACTCCTGGGAGCTGGATCAGCAGTTTATCAAACCCATTTCAAAGCCAGTGTGTGAAGACAGGCAGTTTACTCAAGGTCAACAAGAAAGTTCAGAGGAAAAGGAAATGTGTCCAAATCCAGCTGCCACTTCTGTTTCCTTTCCCTTTGCACATAGATCATCCACCAAGTTCTCTGGTTCCCCTATCCCCTTTCCCTAAGATCTGTTTGGTCTCCAAAGGAAAACAAACCAAACCATAATGGAGGATGGATGTAAAATACAACCAAACTAAATATACAAGAAAGACAATGAAATGAGTATAACAGGGTAGGTTCATAATGCCTTGGGTTTTCTCCAGGTTTCAGTAGATGCCATATTACTATGCTAAAAGTAGCCCTCTCTGGACACTAATTTTCGGAATAGCTAAGGCTGTTGATGGGAGAAATTCACAGACATAACCGTTATCCTGGTTGTTCCTTGACCTTTTTTCTGGTTTGGATTGTAACATTTTCCTTGGGGGGTGTGGGTGGGGAAAGTGGTGCTGAGGATAGTAGGGGGTGGGCAAGTAGCCTGTGGCAATTCAGAAACTCTGGCTTGACTTAACTGACTCTGGCATTCTCCTTCCCCATTTCTCACCAGGGTGACCACTCTAGGGGAAAAAAACCAAACAAACCCAAGGACCTGTTCTCCTTTTTAAGTTTCTTTTTTCAAATGATTGTTTATCTTGTTGTACCACCTACTACTAGCTTAGTTACAGAAGTGAGTTAGAAGAGACTGAAGATCACCCAGGCCAACCTTTCCATTTTAGAAATTAGGAAACTGAGACTCAAAGTCATTTACTGAAGATCACTCAGATGCCCTCACAAAAATTCAAACACCAGTCTTGGGTGCTCTTTGGATTGGACTTATTCTGAGGAAATTTAGACCAGGGAGATAGATATGTGCCCCTTCTAGGCCCAGAGGTTTTAAAATATGTGACAGTAAGAGACAAATGAAGAAAAAATGCTTAAGGATTCATAGATTTTGAGCTGCAAGGGACCTAAATGGTGATACAGCTAGCTTATGTCAAGAGCTAAAACTGGAACACAAATCTATCATGTAGATAATATAATATAATATTTAATATAATATATTAATATATTTAATATAATATTTTATTTTCCCCCAATTACATGTTTTTGGGGTTTTTTTAGTTAATATAATTTTAAAAACTTTTCCCCAATTACATGTTAAAATGATTTCTAACTTTTTTTTTAAGTTTTGAGTTCCAAATTCTATCCATTCTACTCCTGGGAATGCAGCATGTCTGAAGGTCCAGAGAGTACCAGACTTCAAAGACCTGAATTATAATCCAGCCACAGATACTTACTAGCTGTATGACCCTGGGCAAGTCATTTAGCCCCTGAATTTGTTTTCTCATCAGTAAAATGGAGGTAATAAAGACAAAGTGGCTATGAAGATCAAATGAAATAACACAAAATAAAGTGCTTTCCAAATCTCAAAGTACTATTATTACTCTGGCCTAAAAAGTAGAGAACCAAAAATAAAAAAATAAAGCAGTCTATGCCCTCAAGAAGCTTACATTTTATGGAGGAGGCAACATGTACATATAGAAATATATACCGAATACAATGGGCAGCTGGGTGGCAGTGGATAGAGCACTAGGTCTGAGTTCAAATCCAGCCTTAGACACTAGTTTTTCGACTTCTTCATCTGTAAAATGAGCTGGAAAAGTAAATGGCAAACCACTCCAGTATTTCTACCAAGAAAACCCTAAATGGAGTCACAAAGAGACGGACACGACTGAACAACAACAAAATGAATACATACAAAATTGATACAAGGTCATTTTGGGAGAGAGGACACCAATAACTTGAGGAGTGTCATCAGGGTCATTTTCATGTACCAGGTAGCATGACTCTTACCTAAGTCAGGGGCCTTTTAGACCTACCTCACTTGATTTTATAATGCAGTCTTTGATGTAAAAGCAGAAAACATCTTAAAGCAGGAGGGAAAAACACCGTAGACTATCTTGACTTTCATCCCAAACTGTCTATCCTGAAAAGCTGAAAGAGGAAGGCTGGGGGCTGGTGGGAGGGAAGAGGGACCACACAGAAAATACTGAGCATGCCCGCCAGGGGGAGCTGTGGGGGCAGAATTTTAGCAGGAGGGGCGTTTAATCAAAGACCTTTCTGCCATCAGAGCAAAAACAAGAGGAAAGTGGGTGGGTTGAAAGTCCCTGATGGGTTTTCGAAACTCAGACTTTCCCACCTCCCTCACTTCCCCCTAACCCTTGCTACAGGTCCGTGCATCACGATATTCCTTAGTACGACAGACTTCCAGAGACCCCGATTTATATCCAGCTATTCTTAGTCTCTGGGGAGCAGTCTTCCGACCCACAGAACCTTGTATTTACTCTGTGTGTGTGTGTGTGTACATAGATGCATGTAT